CCATAGTCTTCGAGTCAGCTTGGACCTTCCCTGAGTCAAGAGACATTTTTTTTTTTTTTTTTAGATTTTATTGATGATATGACAAAATCATTAAATAAGATAGATACAAAGATAGATAAATAGGCAGACAGTAAATAGATAAAAAAAATATATATAAACTGAATAAAAATAAACAGGTAAGCAAATAAAATCAACAATAAATCAAATGATAACTATAATGATAACTAACCCATTGCCTCTGGGTGACCTGTAATACATGCCATGCTGTGAATGGACATCCGACCCTATATCTATGTCATTAATACCAAAATCCAATAACTATGCAGAAATTCCACCATGGAGGGTAGATGCTTTAGTAGGAATTAAGGCCACAAAATAGCATTAAGGCTTGATGTTAACATTATATCTATATCAAAGCCAGAACTTCACTGGAACATAAGGCATGAAAACAAGTGTATTGGTTGCCCAATATAAGCATAATGCTTACCCATACCCCAAACTTTAGATACTTCAGCATTTTAACCAGGTCAGAGGCCTTGGGTTAGTGGAAATGATACTATTTGAGGGGTTCTGTTGCATACATATCTCATTCTAAATCAAACAGATCCATTTTGTTAAGACCATATACAGATAAAGTCTCCATATCAAATACACTGATTTTCTACTGGAAGTCTTTAGCAAAAAATATAGTATGATGCTACTACATTTCCATCTTTGAAAATGCCATGTTTATTGTAAATGTAGTTATGATTCTGACTGACTGCTTCAAATAAAGTGTTCATATTTTGTACCTCTCATTTTTCAACCTCAATATGTGTACTGGGATGGAATGCCTCCCAGTTTGTATTTTTTTTCTAAATTAGAAAGACTGTATTGCAATCATTGATATAAAAAAGTTATATCTTCTTATATGCCCCAATAAAACTGTGTATATTCAAAATTCACACACACACACAAAATCACATAACATACTATGTCAAAATGTGAATGGATTGTTACACTGAAATATAGAAACAAACATATAAAACTGAGAACATTTGAAATACTATTCTAACAGACTCACAGAAGAAATGCAAGAACAATGTATTCACTCTTAAAAAATGAAATAAATAAAAATTTAAAAACTGCACAAACTTACGTGCATGGCCAAAGAGAGCACTTTTCGACACATTCCTTTGAAGCGAACTCTGCAGCTGCACCAGTCATATTCAAAGCCCTGGAAAAGGGAAAGAATTCCGTGTTAAGGGAAGGTATTTTTTAATACCAAAATTGCTATCTAAAAAGTAAACTCTTTTTTAAAGATCTTCACTTTTTTAGATATATAATTCATAGCTTAATCAACAGATCTGCTATCTTTCAATGAATAAATCAATACATTAACCTAAATCACAATATATTAATAAATCAAATGCAGTCTCCACAAAGGCTGATCAAGTTTATTTGATATGATATATACTTCTAATGATTACACCTATTTTAGAAGTATCCTAGTGAATACATAATTTTCTGCTTCCACATAATTTTCTCTATATAACTGTCTGCATTATAAGATTACATCTTTTACAAGAAAACTGGAAAGACAGGCTAACATCAAAAACCCTCAATTTCATCAATGAATAGATCTCAGATTACAAATGATTTTTTTTTCACATCAACCATAAGAAAAGCATCTCTCCCTGATGTAACATAAATCACTGACATTTCTCAAACAACCTACTCTCTCTTTCATCTTCTCGGCAACAATTTCCCAAAACACTCTCCGTCTGACTGTCTTGTTCACATACTCTTGCTCGTGTTCTTCATAGATATCAAGGAGGGCCCTCACTGCAGGTAAACTCCACAGGGTTGTGTTTCCACCTTTCCTCCCTGTACATGAGATTTTTTTTTTTTATCACTAAAAAATCAAATCAACCTTGCCTTGGACACAATTACCATACAACATCGTATTATTTCAAATGTGAATTACTGTTAAGTAAAGTCATATTCAAAATTTGGTTCAGTACAATGCATGGTTTTAAAAGGTACACTTCATGAAGCAAAATATCAAAAACTAAATATTCATCCTTTCTTCCACTGCTACGAGACATAACAAATATTCCTTACAAGGCTTATGCGACCCATCTTCCTCTTGTATTTCAGCCTCATGATTGGCCTCATCATATTCCCCAGATGTAATAACTTCAGCAGCTTCTTCTGCATCAAAAATAGCTGACCTGCAATTATTCAGATAGAATTATGTCAATGGTCACAGGTAACAATGATCAATGGAGGTGAAACTGTGGTCAGAAATTTATTTACAAATATACATTAACTGTCATTTCTAATGATCTACTTATTACTCTGATGCTGAAATTATGAACAGATAATCAGAAAGTAAATTTTAGAAAATTAATAAAGTAATATGTCATAGGTGTCAGGTTGTGGAAATCCATAAAGCTGTAAGTACAGGTTCTCATCAGAATTTAGATTTTTGGTTGTTGATGATGTTTTGTTAATCATA